TTAGGTCCAGATACTTCGACCATATTTATTTCCATGTTGTTCTTACCAGATACACTTAGTTTCTGCATCTGAGCTTCTAGGCCTTCTCTCGAACCTGTGACAGCAGCCAAGTAGGAACCTTTAGTAGTTCCTTTGTTTGAACCATTTGTAGCTCCCTTGTTTAGGCCTTCAGTAGCCTTTTTCTGTATCTATTCGACAGCTTCTTTGCTAGCGTCCTCAGTGAAACTACCAAAATTTGGTTTGTTAATGAAGTCTTTCGAGACTTCGACTATATTGATGCATGATGGTTCAGCATAATGGGCATCTGCCTGCAACAGGTTTGCATCAATCTTCATGGGTGGTTTGTCAGCAAACTTGAGTCTGTCATCTTTGATTGCACCTTGAACGAGATCCCTGAAAAGAAAACATTGTGAGGTTTTATGGCCCAAAAAATTATGATATTTACAAAAACCTCTCTTTTTTCTTTGATCTAAAGGAGGCATTTTTACCCCAGGGGGCACTATCATCTGGACATCTTTAACTAACAAGTCAAATATTTCGTCACATTTTGTGACGTCGAAACTATAGGTTTTCTTTAGGAACCTATCACTACTCTTTTCAAATTCAGTAGGATTTTTCCCATTTGAGGGTGTTAACAGTTTGCAAGAGTATGGTGGTCCTTGCTTTAATTCTGCTAAATCAATCTCGCTCTCTTCGACATTTATAGGGTCATTAGATGTCTCTAGATCGTCTTCATACATTTCGACATATACTACCCTTTCTCTTCGATGATTTTTATTTGCCTTAGCTTTTTCAACCTTAAGGAATTCCACTTGCCGAACTCTATCAGCCAATTGGACCATATCTCTCAGGTATTGGTTATCTAATTTCTTCCTAATGGAATAATCTAGACCTCCTACAGCCATTTCGACCAACTCATGTTCAGGCACTTGTGTAAAGCATATGGCTTTGAGTAGTCGAAATCTATTCAGATACTCATCAACTGGCTCAGTGAATCTCCTTTTCACACTATCCAGTTCTTTCAAACTTATTTTGGTTTGTCCCATATGGAACTGTTCATGGAACAATCTTTCCAACTGATTCCAATTGTGGATCGAATTGGATGGGAGTATGGTAAACCAAGTGAAGGCATTTTTGTTTAAGGAACTTGGGAAAGATTTAATCCTAAGATTCTCATTATTTGAGATTTCCCTAGCTTCTATCAAATACCTTGCTACATGTTCGATAGTGGACTTTGTCGTATCCCCTGAAAACTCGGTGAACTTTGGAACTTTCCACCTAGGGGGTAATTCTGATTGCAAGATATAATCTAATAATGGAGACGTAAAGTTTGGCCTATGAAAGCCAATGTTCACTCCATTGTGTGCCATGATTCTTTCGACCATGGCTGTCAAGTTATTATCTGGTGCATAGTTGTGGTGTCGAACATGTTGTATTACTTCATCAGCATTTTGGTTTTGATTTACCATAATTATACCTTGTTCAACAACTCTTGGGATTTGGGGAGCAACTATGGGTACTTCGATCCTAGGTTGTTCGATTTATACTCTATGGTTCATCCCATCTGGTTGTGGATTCTGGTTAATGGTCATATCATCCTCTAAAACTACACCATGATTTCCTCTTATCAACTCTCTTTGGGGTTGTCGAATAGGTTTAGGAACCCTAAAAAATTCAGCCATGCACGTCATTTGTGTTGCCATTTGCTGATTCGACTGGGTGGTATTTTGTATTAGAGGGTTAAGCAATGTACTCAAGGTTTGTGCCAACATTTACACCATGTCATGGTTACTTTCATTCATTTGTTGCCTCAAAATTGTTGTAGAAGCATTTGTGAGGCTTGACATTGTATGTGAAGTTCCTCCTAAGAGTTGGTTTCTATCCAAATTCGTCATACATGTTCCAGATCCCTGTAATGGTAAAGATGCACTCACCAAAGGTTTTGAAAATATGGATGAAGCATTCATAAGGCTTGCCATTTCAGCAGTTGGCATGCCATAAGGCTGGTCTTGACCCATCCAGGCTGTCAAAAATCCTGGAGGGACATAAGGTCGAACTCCAAGATTTCCCCTTGGTGGGGGTGTTCCTGGTGGACCCCTAGGACCTATATAAGAAAGTATTGGTCTTGTTTGTGCAACTGTTACTACTGGTATCGAACCAACTGTTGATGGAATTGGTTCACCAACTATTGGTATAACCGTAGTTCCATTGCCAGGAATTTGTGGAGGCATTTCTCCACTAGACTGATTAGCCATTATCCTATTTCTTCTCTTAGGTATGTATTCGTTGGTGGTTGTTTTGTCACTTCTTAATAACATACAACACTCTTTGAGAGAAAGGAAATTAATTAAAGCATTTATGATAAAAACTGGTTTTATCGAAGTTTGTAAAAAAACAAGAAAACTTAGCAACGTCCCATCAGGTGTACCAATTTGTTTACCGTGAAAATTAGTAAACAATTGTTGATCTTCCAAAAATAGTTATTTTGGTTACTTGCAGGATCGATCAGATTGATCCTAGGACATATGCTAAGTTATTTGTAAGTTTAAATAAAAAAGTTTGAGAAGATATTAAGAGTAAAGGGAGGATGAAGGTAAGAATTTAATAAAAGTGCAAGTAAAAGGCAAGAGAAAGTAAATTTGCAGTAATGATAAAGGGTTGTAATGATAAAGTTTGCAAAGAAACATAAATGGCAAAGATTGTAACGAAATATAAAGACTTTACTTTAATTAAAATATGGTGATTCAAACGTACATTCTCAAAATTCTTTCTCACACAGCGGATACTTGAATATATTTGAGTGACTTGTACTAATAAGTTGAACACACAGAATTTTACACAAACTTCTTATATTTATATTGGTAGTAAATAACCGTCGAACGGTTGCTTCGATCCAGAATAAGGACAAGTGTCCTCTGCATGTTCTTCGATCTCTATCTTCATGTCACGTTGCTTTTCCTAACTGCCAAGTGAACTGCTTTTCCCTCATTTCTTCGAATTCAAATTCACCTGCTTGCTGATACAAGAACCTTTCAGTCGAAGACCACAGGAACCTCTCGGTCGAAGACCACAAAAACCTCTTGGTCGAAGACCATCTTTATCTTAGAAAATTTTCTAAGTGTTTTCTCTTTCTTAATCAGGATGACTTCGACACAACCTCTTTCACAAATTCTTCTTATCGAAGTGTCTTCAACCTTAGATTTCTTTCAATCTATTTTTAGTCGATAAGGCCAATATATGTGGGTGTCAAATTTAGGAGCTAACAGCAACACAATTGATATTGCCCTGTAAAAAAAAGTAACCAACAAGGATCGCCAACTCCACCAACCAAAATGTATATAGCAAAATCATACTCTTGATCTTAAAAAGGAATGTGATATGAAGTTAGAGAAATGTAAAACAATGAAGAGAAAAAATGAGTGGTTGGTGACAAATCATGGTTCAAGAAAATAAAAAATAAAAAACTAAGAAAATTGTTAGATCATGTCTTGGAGGTCTGCTGTAAAATATTAACGAGAAGAAGATGAAAACGGTACGATGAAAGTTGCACAAAATAAATTCCAAAGTGTGTGATTACACTAAGCGTTAGGTTCGATTCGCCCCCACCAATTTAGACAAATTGGATGTAAATGAGTTAACCGGCGAATCCCCTTCAGGATACTTTAAAAACCTTAACATGAATCGCACATTCATATTAAGCATATCGATCAACAATATTTTACAGAACAAAGTTCTCTCATTTATTCTCGTTCACTAGAAAAATAAAAGAGTGATGTGGATATGATTTTTCGCACGTGAAATATACTATTTTCGTGTCTTTTCAATGCCTAACAAATGTCTCTATTTTCGTGAAGTCTTTTCAATTCCACTTTTTTTTCTAAAAAGTCTTTTTTAACCATTGCAACTTTTCAAATATGTTTTGGAAATTTCACCACGAAAATCAAATCAAATGATATCATTTTGGGTCAAATTTTCATATCTCATTGTGAAAAAGAAGAAGGAAATAGGGGAAGACGTGCCTAAAACCATTAAAAAAAAGTAATTTTATACTAGAAAGGCGATGAAATTTTTATTTCAAAAAGAAGAAGAGCAATGTTAATTCAAATGTAACGCACTCACCCTAACGTGGGTGATGAGACGTCAAACTAGCAACGTTAAAGAAGCGATGCATGAGAGGTAATCAACAAATCGATAAGAAGTCTTTTTTCATTTAATTAACAAAAAAAAAATCTTTAATTTTATCATTTTAATTTCTTTCAAGTTCTCATGTTTAATTTTGTACTTTATCATTTGTCATTCATTAGTGAACGAGATTAGTCATCAACACCAAATTGTTTACTTTGTTTTGTGCTGTTCCGTGGATGTTCTATTATCGGTTGATTCGTGTTGTTCTTTCATTTGTTGCTTAATTGTGTTGATATACTCAAAGCGTTGTGAGTTCTCACCACTCACACCTCTATATGTATTATAGTGTATGGTTGTTTTTCATCGCATTATACGAAAATAACATTGTTTTTACTTTTACTGTTGTTTTTTCCGTCATTTTGTTGCTGTATGTTTTGAGGTGAAGCAATGTGCATTTATTATAGTTTGTTCTCTTTACTATTTTGCTTGTTTTGCTATGGATTTTTCGAGTAAAAACTTGATTATGCAATTTGAAATATTTTTTATTTTCGAGAGACTCTCGAGTCTACAAGACTGACCCTTCACAAGTCAATGTAGACTTGTGAGCCTGTTAACATTGTCGGTAGTAATTGAAGCATAGACTTCGTTGCATTATGCTACCAAATCATTCAAGTAGTTAAAGATAGATAAACAACTAATAGAAACCAAAACAGAAGAAAGAAGTTAAAATATGATCCTCTTAGTACACAAATTAACTTACACATTTCACTGTAAAATTGTAAACCACGACTTTATTTAACACTGAAGCAAAACACAAAGGTCTAAACTCAAATGATCCGAAAGTATTTTGTGTCGCGTACATCTGTGAGTGGTTTTCATGGCAGGAGCAATATCTTTCCAATATGTTGACTGCTTTCCATAAGCCGGTGAGCCTCTGCAGCTTCAGAAAGAGGGAAAGTTTTATAGATCACAGGCTTAACCTTTCCTTCTGCAATTGCTGGCCAAACATTCTTCTCCACCTCACTAATGATCACAGCTTTACTTTCAGGACTTCTACTACGCAAGCCAGCCCCTGCACATAATCCACCATACGATATTCATGAATGATCGATATGTATATACCGTTGCTGCTTAAAAAACAATTTCCAATTTCAATTCTGAAAAAATCTGGTTGTCTAATATGTTTCCTCGCACGAAATTTATTTTCAGGAAGAATCTAAAAAATAGATGACTAGAAAGAAAGTGTCTACATGAGTGATAAAGTAGTTTAGTGTTTGATTGGTTTTGCGGTAATAAAAATTGGTTTTGAATCGATCAATTATGTAAAGTTGAGTCTCTTATATATGACTTGAATGTAAAGTAATTTATGTTCAAATATATTTACACAAAAGTGAATTGAGCAATAAGAAGAGTATCTATTAGTATAGGGCATGAATCAGAATCAGTAATACCTTGTACAGTTAGACGCTTGCCAAGTATAGGACGTAGATCGACCTCTGTAGTAACACCCCCTTGAAAGCCGATAATGAAAAGCCTTCCATCGAAATTTAAGCTATCAAGATTTCTTTGAAAGTAGGATGCTCCCACACAATCAAGAATAACATCGACACCTGCCACAACACCACATCAAAGATAATATTAGCAGATGCATCTGGATGCAAGTGGTACAATATCACATAATGTTGAGGAATGCTTGGAATTTAACGTCACCCTTCCTAGAGGTAAAATACCTTGACCACCAGTTTCTTCCTTCACCCTTGCAACAAAGTCTTCTGTTTTGTAATTGATACCAACATCAGCTCCAATACTCTTGCAAAAAGTGAGCTTCTCTTCACTACCTGCTAAGCAATTTCTAGAATAAAATTTCTGCAAACATCACTTGGAATTTCAATATGACAATACACGCGATGGGACGAAAACTACTTGAAATAGTGACAATGAGGTAGACAACTAATCTCAGTGCCTAAACATATGAAAAAGTGACTAAAAGTTTAATAACATGAAGAGTTGTACTGAACCTGCAGTAACAAATACTTTCGCTCCTATGTACTTAGCTATCTGAATTGCGAAGGTGCCGATTCCACTTGAACCTCCATGAATCTGAGAATGAATAAAGTTAAACTTTTAGGCAACACTGAATAGAAAATGATCAAATAGTCATTGAATATAAATATATATATTAAGATCAAAAGCAAGGCAAGAATCAGTGGGAAAAAAAAACTCAATAACCATGCTTGGAGTAGATTGCATATTATTGTATTTTCCTGAAAAGTTACAAGTTGATTACAATAACATGACTTACCAACAAGGTTTCCCCTTTAGATAGCCGGCTCATCATAAAAATAGTCGACCACACAGTACACGCAACCTCTGGAAAACTAGTTGCATCCTTGAGAGAAATCCCAGGCGGAATAGGAAGAACTTGTCCTTCAGGAGCAGCTACTTTCTCAGCATAGCCACCACCAGATAAAAGAGCACATACCTGTGAAGTGAAACCACACCTCATAATATCCATTCATAATCACAGGACAACACACTCACATAGGGCTGTTTGGATTGAATAATTTAAGTTTATTTACCAACATAAGAACTTGTGAGACAAGAAAGAGTTTATGAAAGCTATGATATTTCCATAAGCTATTTTTAGCTTACTTCCATAAGCTCCTCAGGATATCTAGCTTATTTAAAAACAGATTGGCTCTATTTTATAATCGGTTAATTAAGTTGTATCCAAACAAGACCTAATAATTCTAATCAAAATTAAAACTTTTTACAGACCCAGAATTCAATTTTGAATATAAAGAAAAACCCATCTCAGAAAAATAAGAATTATGAAAAAAAGCTATATACCTGATCACCAATTTTCCACTTGGAAACGTTCTTGCCAACGGATTCAATGATTCCAGAACATTCAAGACCTGGGTAAGGGCTTGCACCATGAGGAGGAGGGTAGCCACCTTTCCTCTGAAGGGTATCAGCTCTGTTAAGGGCAGTGGCATGGACTTTGATGAGGACTTCATCGTCTTTGATTTGAGGGTCTTCAACCTCTTGGAGTTGAAGAACTTCGGGTCCACCTGGTGAGGTTATTACAATAGCCTTCATTGCAGTGTTGTTGCTTGATTGTTCCAGACAACTTTTCTTCTCTTCTCTAATATCTCTCGGAAGAAGAAAACAAGAATGTGAAGGGAGAGGTTATTACACGCGTTTTTTTTTTATTGATATATTTCAAGAAAAAAAATCTAATTAAGAAAATTTCATATAATATATTTCAAAAAACTTCTTATTATTCAAACAGTTCATTCATAACTTTAATTCCAAAATTACTAAGTGGATGATTTACTTATATCACTAATTGGATACGTGTATAAAGTGTTAGCAAAATTACGAATAAATAGGTTAAAGAAAATAGTTAGATTGTATCTTGATATTAAATGAGTTATTGGATGACGCTAAGTGGAAAAGGAAAGAAGTGTTGTTGTTTAAAACGAATTTTGAAAAGGCATAAGATTTCGGTGGATTGAAAATTCTTTGATTACATGATGGAAATAATGGAATTTAATGAAAAGTGGAGAGTTAGGATATCTGAATGCTTACGAACTATGTCAATATCAATGTCGATAAATCAGAGTCATACAAAAGAATTTCGTTAGAGAAAGAATTGAGGCAAGGAGATCCATTATCTCCTTTCGTGTTTACGTTAGTGGCAGAAGGCCTATATGTTATGATGGCCAAAAGTGTTCAGGTGAATATATTTGAAGGTTATCAGTTTGACAATGGATTTTGGAAGTATCTCATATCTAGTACGTGGATGACACAATATTAATAGGTAAGAAAAGATGAAAGAATATATGGGCGATTAAAGTTAATCTTCATCTCTTTGAGTTAGTGTCCGAGTTGAAAGAGAATTTCCATTAGAGTTCGCTAATTGGTGTTAATATTCACCAATCTTGGTTGGAGGAGGCCGCAGAGGTTCTAAATTGTAAAGTTGGTTCAGCCTCGTTCAAATATTTAGGGTTACTAGTAAGATGCAATCATCAGAGAGAGGGGACCTGGAAATCAATGGTAGATACAGTGAGAAGTAGGTTGGTTTCTTGGAATAATAACCATCTATAGATAGGGGGTCGAATCATCCTCTTGAAGTCTGTTATTTACCCCTTGTTAAAATAAGGAGCAGACTTCCATTGTTTTTGTTAGAGAAAGAAGCAAACTTTTATAACTTGTTGTTAAATAAAATACAATTTTGATCTTTATATAGACCCAAAGACTTCTACTATTCTAAGAAAGTAACTGCTATTAATAAAAACTATTATAACCTACTATCTCTTGACCTTCCAAATTACATTTGGTTCTTAACCTTCCTACTACCTTATTTAATAAGAAAACCCAGTACTAATGACATTAAAGTTTATTCAACAAAACTCCTTCGTAAACTTAAATGTTTCTTCCATCCATCATGCCTATCATTTTTTTGCCTCTGTCGAAAATTTCCTTCGATAATGGTTTTGTGAAGATATCTGTTGCTTGATCCTTCCTTGCTACATGCTTCAATTCGACACTTCCTTCCTTCACATGTTCTCGAATGAAGTGGAAGCGAACGTCAATGTGTTTGCTTCTTTCGTGGTTACTGGATTCTTTGCCAACTCGATTGTTGATTTGTTATCAACTTGTATTACAGTTGCACCTTCCTGTTTTAGCTCCATTAATCTCATTAATCTTCTAAGCCATATTGCATGACAAACGCACCAAGATGCTGCCACATATTTAGCTTCACACGTCGAAAGTGTTACTATAGGTTGCTTTTTAGAAAGCCAAGTAAATGCAGTGTTTCCCATGAAGAACACATATCCAGAGGTGTTTTTTCGATCGTCTGTATCTCTGCACCAGTCACTGTCAGAGTAACCAACTAACTTGTAGTCTTCTGTTCTTGAATAAAAAATTCCAATTGACATTGTTCCTTGGATGTACCTTAGGATTTGCTTCAATGCCTTCCAATGTGTGTGTACTGGCTCCTCCATGAATCGACTTACAATGCTAACACTTAATGAAATGTCTGGCCTTGTGCATGTGAGATAGTGAAGACTACCTACCAAGCTTCGATATTTGCTTACTTTGACACGTTCTCCTCCATCAAATTTTGACAGTTCTGCACCTGGTTCCATTGGCGTCGAAGTTGGATTGTAGTTTTTCATCTTATATTTTTCCAAGATTTCTTTTGCATATTTTTCTTGTGAGATAAAGATTCCAGTTTCTTCTTGTTGAGCCTCTAGATCAAGAAAGAATCTCATCGTACCTAAGTCTGTCATTTCGAATTCGCGCATCATGGTGCTCTTGAATTCTTCTATCATCTGAACATCATTGCCTAGAAAAATAAGGTCATCAACATAGAGAACAACAAGTAATACGTTACTTCCATTTTTCTTCACATAGATGGCATGTTCATAAGGATATTGCTCGAATCCATTCCTTTTGAAATATGTGTCAATGCGTGTGTTTCATGCCCGTGGTGCTTGCTTCAGCCCATATAGCACTTTCTTCAATTTCAGCACCTTCTTCTCTTCTCTAATATTCATATACCCAAGTGGTTGTTTGACATAGATTTATTCTTCGAGCACACCATTCAAAAATGTTGTCTTGACATCCATTTGAAATATTGGCCATTTGAATTGAGCAGCTTGAGAAATGAGCAATCGAATTGTCTCCATTCTTACAATAGGTGCAAACACTTCGTCATAGTCAATTCCTGATTTTTGTTTGTATCCTTTCGCAACAAGTCGCGCTTTGAATCGTTTGATTTCTCCTTGAGCATTCATATTTTTCTTGAATACCCACTTTACACCAATGAGTTGACTACCTTTTGGAAATTCGACTAGCTCTCAAGTGTTGTTGCGGTCTATTGCTCTAATCTCTTCGTCCATGGCACTTTTCCACTTCTTGTCTCGTAACGCTTCTTCGACACTGATGTTTTCAGCATCTGCCAGAAGGCACACAAGATGTACCTCATTTGTCGAATCATATAAATCTTGCAAACTTCGCATTCTAGGTTGTAGAGGTTCATCTTCATCTTCAGTATCTTCATGTTCTGTTGAGATGCTTGTTGGTACAGCTACTGATGATTCTTCGACTACGTCAATAACCTCTATCGAATTGTTCCATTCCCACTTGCTTGCTTCGTTTATTCGAACGTCTCTACTCACGATCACTTGCTTATGGGGTCGAATAACCTGTACCCTTTTGTCTTCTCATCATATCCAATGAATATGTACTTTTGACTTTTATCTTCCAATTTTATTCTTTGTTGATCTGGTACATGTGCATAAGCTACACTACCAAATACTCTGAGATGAGAAATGGTTGGCTTCTGTACGCTCCATGCCTCTTGTGGTGTTTTATCTTCTAACTTCGAATGTTGACATCTATTTTGAACATAAACAGCACATTGTACAGCTTCTGCCCAGAATTCTTTCGACATATTCTTGCTTTTAAGCATTGATCGAATCATGTCAAGAATAGTTCGATTCTTTCTTTCAGCCATACCATTTTGCTGAGGTGAATATGGTGCAGTTAGAAATCTCCTTATGCCCTGCTCTTCATAATACTTCATAAAGGCCGTCGAAGTGTACTCACCACCTCTGTCAGATCGAACTTCTTTGATATGTCTGTCTGTTTCCTTCTTCACCCTTACTTTGAACTTTTGAACTCCTCTAATGCTTCAGACTTTTCTTTCAAGAAATAAACCCAGGTCTTTCATGAGAAGTCGTCGATAAAGGAAATGAAGTACATTTTTCTACTAAAGGATTCTGGAGTGATTGGCCCACATATGTCAGTATGAATCAATTCAAGAATATGTTTAGCTTGATATTCTGCCTTCTTTTGAAATGAGGTTCTTGTTTGTTTGCTGAGCACACATTCTTCACAAAACTTTCCTTCATAATTCATGTCTGGTAGTCCATGCACCACGTTCCTTTTTGCCAACCTTCTCAAACCATCATGATGTAGATGACCAAAGCGCATATGCCATAGTGACGCTTTTTCTTGCATTTTGACTTGCAGACATTTCTCTCGAACGTTCCTCAGGTTCAGTTTGTACATTCGATTTCCTTCCATTTTGACACGGGCGATCAGATGTCCTACTTTGTCCTTCAAATGCAGTATTCGATCTTTCATAAGTATCGAAAATCCTTTTTTTGTAAGTTATCCCAAACTCAAGATGTTGGTCTTGAGATCTGGCACATAGTAAACATCTTCGATTGATCCAATCAAGTCATCCTTCTGCAAGTAACTGATTGTGCCCTTTCCTTCGAACTTCACTTTTGATGCATCTCCAAAAGACATATTACCGTCTTCAATTTTATTCATTTATTTAAACAGATGTTTGTAACCACACATGTGATTACTTGCTCCTGAGTCAAGATACCAAACATTTTCATTATTGGTGTTGATTTTGTTTTGAGCCATCAGGAGAAAGCCTTCATTTTCTTTAGGTTCCAAGGATAGATTGGTTGTTTCTTCAATCTTCTTTTCGATTCGACAATCTTTTGCAAGATGTACCACTTTATCACAGTTGTAACATTTGTAGGAGTTGCAATCCTTCGCGTAATTACCATACTTCCCACACTTGTAGCATTCGAAGTTGGAGTGGTTCGACCGACCACCTCTTTGACCACGTCCTCTGCCATGCCAATTTTGTTGGTTCGATTGTTCTCTTTCAAAGTTGCTGCCTCGACCACTGTCACGACTTCCACGTCCACGTCTTCTTCCTTGAAAGTTTTGATAAAAAAGTACCTTTTCGTCTTTGTTCGACTCTTTGGTTTGATTTGCTTCTTCTTCAACTGCTTATTCCTTCTTTTTCATCTTTTGTTGTTCATGTGCTTCGAGAGAACCAGCGAGCTCTTCGACTGAGAGCGTAGAAAGATCCTTCGACGCTTCTATTGCACACACAATATTTTCAAACTTGTCTGTTAAAGATCTCAAGAGCTTTTCAACAACTCGTGCATCAGTTATTGTTTTGTCATTTCTGGTGAATTGGTTCACCACCTTTTGTACTCGTGTGATGTAGTCAGATACAGTTTATGTCTCCTTCATCTGTATCCTCTCCAATTCTC